AAATTTCTTAATCTGAACGAAATTGAAGGATGCTATGCATTTTCTCAGGATAAAACCATACATAATGTTTCAAGCTTACAGATAGATAAGGAAAATGGAAAATCTAAGGTTTCAAGCAGAAATGTTCCATCTAAAGAGGGAGGCGAAGGATACCAAGGGGGCATTGAAACTCAGAAGTCGAAAATGAACTGACAACGCCATGGCTAAAAAAGAAAAAGATAAACACACAAACACACACACAATTAAAGTACAAAAAACATAACATACTGAGCAAAACTGGGGGTGATCTCAGGTGCTCAGAAAGAGTAACATATATAACCCCGCCACATTCTGTATGTATGTTTTCTGTCCCAAGTCAGGAGCCTGTAATTCAGTGGTTGGTGTTTGTTGCTGTTGTTTTTCGTTAATTTTTTTGTACAATAATTAGGCCGTTAGTTTTTCGTTTGAATTGTTTTACATTTGTGATTTCGGGGCCTTTTATAGCTGACTATGCGGTATGGGCTTTATTCATTGTTGAAGGCCGCACGATGACCTATAGCTGTTAATTTCTGTGTCATTTGGTCTCTTGTGGAGAGTTGTCTCATTGGCAATCATACCACATCTTCTTTTTTAAAAGCAGTTCCTGCTACACACGTGGCACTCATCGTGTTGCTCATGTTAGTACAAACCCGGTAACAAGTCTAATTCGGTAGGCCACATTCAGGGAAAAGGGGACGGGATTGTAGTTAAGACATTTGAAACATATCCGCTATCATCTGTGAAACAGATATTCCATAACGGTCAACCAACTCTTGAAGGCGTCCGTAAAACTTACGAGGGGGTGATTTCAACTTCACCACTTGGAACTCTTGGTTTAACAGCTTCTTTGTGAGCAGCAACCCTCTATCAAAGAAATCATGATTTGAAAATTGGTAATATTTTCGGCAAAATTTCTTGAAGAAAATGGGTCAACAAAATATGTCAAGTTGACCGATTAGTAAAATTATCTGAAAAACTTGACTATCACAATATTGATCAAGGTCAAACAGACGTCTGATGTTCAGTCGTTTGTTGATGTGGTTCATATGTGTTTCTCGTTTCTCGTTTTTTATTTAGATAAGACTGTTCGTTTTCTCCTTTGAATGGTTTTACACATGTTATTTTTGGGGCCCTTTAATTATAGCTTGCTGTTCGGTGTGAGCCAAGTCTCCGTGTTGAAGACTGTACTTTGACCTATAATGGTTTACTTTTACAAACTGTGACTTGGATGAGAGAGTCGTCTCATTAGCACTCATACCACATCTTCTTATATCTATTCTAACGCTATCTTTTCGGTTTTTAGGTTTATGCATTATAAATGATGCCGATGATTTTCACGTTTTTGATTGTCTATGAGGTGAAGATTTCTGCTCCGCGTTGAGTGTCATACGGTGTCATGTAGTCTCTATTATCAAAGACATTTGGTCTCTTGTAGAGAGTGGTTTCATTGGCAATCTTACCAATTATTCTAAGTTCCATATTTTTTTTTAATCGACCGTCACTGTTGAATCCTTTGTAGGGAAACGCGAGTTTGGAGAATACAGTTATACATCTGCATGGTATCTTTCATGAATGTTTTAATTATTATCCGAGATACATACCTATAACCACCAATACTTAAAATTGACCAATGAACTATGAAACTGAGGTCAAAGTCAGATTGCCACTTCTTGTCGGATGTGTAAATCATACATAAATTAAATCTAGCTTATGTCGAGAACTCATGATTGATCGATGAATGACGAAAGTAATGGCAGTGTCAGTTTACATGCAATAAGGCATCTATATATTGCAATCATCCAATACAACCAATATTGTCCACCTATTGTATTTATTATCTAAGATACCACACTCATTAAGACAAACAAATAAACCATAAAAATGTATTAAATTTTAGACATACTATTTGCGAATAGTATGTTCACATTACAATCATTTCAGAAAATATACTTGGTCTACTATAAGATTATTAAAAAAAAACCACCAAAGTCTCATGAAAAATAAGCATCGACCAATAGCACATGAAAATAAGGTCAATGTTAGATGAACCCCGTTCAAAATTCTAGTAAAAATAACAAGCCCTGCATACGCTAATTGTAATTGACCCATTGCTTAAAAAGCATCAGAAAAAAAACCGAACCATAAAAATAGAACATTGACAAAAAGTTAGTTGAAACCTACCGGTCGGACATGTGCACCCTACAATCAGCCTATACACAAAAGAAACAACGAAAATTAAATCAAGGACAATTGAAAATTATGTCATTGAAACATAAAGCTTTAGTATACAAAATTTGAAGCATTCGGATCTTCTTCACATCTGAAATAAAAGAAATATATACCAAAAGATAAAACTTTTCCAATGAATCATTTTAAAAGTAAGTGAGCGGTAAATTCAGAACATATTGATCATACTAGATGGAGAGTTGTTTCATTGGCACTCATACCACATCTTCTTATATCTAGTCAAAGAAACGAATATTTCATGTACAAATCATTTATAATGTTAGTACGGTCTGTATTTAACTCCAAAAAGGACATGGTGTTTCGAAGTTCAAAGTGAAACCTGCAAAACTTATACAAATTTTTATATCGGACATAATTCAAAATCAGCGGACAAAAAGCAAAACGGACCAAAAGCAACGGACAAAAAGCAAAAGTGTCGGACAAAAAGCAAAATTATCGGACAAAAAGGCAAAACGGACAAAAAGCAACGGACAAAAAGCAAAAGTGTCGGACAAAAAGCAAAATTATCGGAGAAAAAGCAAAACGGACAAAAAGCAACGGACAAAAAGCAAAAGTGTCGGACAAAAAGCAAAATTATCGGACAAAAAGCAAAAGCGGACAAAAAGCAAATTGCGGACAAAAAGCACCGTATCAAGCGAAGCAGTCCACAGCTTTTTAAAAAGCTCAAACTTGTTAATGCTTACATTCACTTCATTTAAACTTTGACGGATAGTTGTCTCATTGGCAATCATACCACATCTCCTTATTTTTATATTAACTGATTAAAGGTGCAATAAAATTAATATGTGTTATAAAAAAAGATAACGTAAATTATTGTTCATACAACTTGATGAAAATAGATAATCATGTCAAAATTATCAACCAGAATATTAAGTAGTTGTCCTGGTACTACCCATATAGTGATACTATAAATGCTTGTATAGAACAAGACTGATATGATGTGCCACATTTTTATCTTAGCCATTTTAGCAGCCACAAGTAAACAATACTTGATTCCACACAATTAAAATCAGTTCTACCTTCTGCAACTTGCAAGCTCACAAGGTACATGTAAAATCTCACTAAAAGACATCATATGGAGCACTAGGTAATATACATTATTCTGATTTGTATCAAACCTGTCCTTAAAGCTTGCTCTTACCATACTTACTCATACATGTAACAACAAATTTCTACCAGATTTTGTTTAGCCTGCATTTACAAGGTCCATACATATTATCTTTCCCCTTTTATACTTCTATGCCACATAAATATATTATTTTAATGATATTAACAAATTTTGTCGCGGGTGCTATGTCAAGAATGTAGAGTCCATAAACTGTTTTCTCACATGTGTCTCATGCACGAGATGTATACTTTGGCCTTTGTTAGTCTTGTATCATTTTTAATTTTAGTTTCTTGTGTATAATTTGGAGTTTAGTATGGCGTCCATTATCACTGAACTAGTATACATATTTGTTTAGAGGCCAGCTGAAGGACGCCCCCGGGTGCGGGAGTTTCTCGCTGCATTGAAGACCCATTGGTGGCCTTCGGCTGTTGTCTGATCAATTGTCAGTTGTTGTCTCTTTGACACATTCCCCATTTCCATTCTCAATTTTATTTAGTATTTTTAGCTATGTCATAACAACCTGTTACACTTCCTGTATTACATGTACTAGCACTACTTCGCTCTCTCACCTTTTTTGCCCTATCTTTGTCACGGTCTTCTGTTTAAATAGGCTATTTATATTTGAAGACCTATTTTGCATAATCATAATGGACATATTCTGTTGCTGTCCTGATACTCCTGAATATCACGAATATAAACCATGTACATAGTGACGTAATCAATCAATCATACATTATTTCCTGCCAAGTTGAGACAAGTACAAAATGTAAATAACTGTATTATTCTATTCTTATTATAAAAAAATTCGTAAGGGTTTCGCGGAACCCAGTGTCTCGCCTTCTTTTGCTGTTGTCCATGTTTTCAGTGTGATAGGGGAATGCACATAATAGATTTACAGTTAATGAAATAAAACGTTTGAAATGTATGAAAAAAGTTATGCTTGTAAAAAATGAATACAGTATACAATCAAATCTATAGATTTATAAAAGAGTTGAAACATAACTTTATTGAATGAACAAATGATAAAGAAGATAATTTTTACATTGCTTGATGATTTATCCCTTAATTCAGATGACGACGGAACGTAGGATCGCTATGTCTAGCTTTTGCGACAAAAGTCGCAGGCTCAACAAAAATGGGGAAAAAATTATTAAAAATTTTCCTCTAGATACTATCTTTTGATTGTAAGAAGCTTCTGTCCAAGTTTGGTAAAAATCTGGGATGGTTTATGAATCTAATAAATGTTTTAAAAATTTTAACTGCAGACTGTATGTAATGTTAACTGGAAGAAAAATTAAGTCCATTTATAAGTCATGTAAGTAATATACGGAAAAACAGGAAACAAATTTTTACAAAATTTCCTTCTAGATACTAGCTTTTTATCATAAACAAGCTTCTGTCCAAGTTTGGTACAAATCCAGGATATTTTAAGAAAGTAATTAAAAATTTTAAAACTACAGAGTTAATGTAATGTTAACTGGCAGAAAAACTAAGTCAATTTATGAGTAAAATACAGATAAACAGGATTTTCTTTTACAAAATTTACTTCTGGATACTATCTTATGATCATAAACAAGCTTCTGTCCAAGTTTGGTAGAAATCCAGGATATTTTAAGAAAGTTATTATAATTTTAATAAAATGCTCCGCAGGGCGCAGCTTGATACGACCGCAGAGGTCGAACCCTGAACAGTTGGGGCAAGTATGGACACAACATTCAAGCTTGATACAGCTCTGAATTTGGATTGTGATTAAATATTTGACACAGCATAGGTTTCTGACACAGAAAGAATGTGGTCTAAGAACTTAAAAATTTTAAATTGGACATTCACCTATTATGGTCCAATATCCAAAATCTAAATACATGGTTAGATTCAGCATATCAAAGAACCCCAAGAATTCAATTTTTGATGAAATCAAACAAAGTTTAATTTTGGACCCTTTTGACCTCAATGTGGACAAAGTTGATAATGGGGCCCAAAAATCAAAATTCTAAATACATGGTTAGATTCAGCATATCAAAGAACCCCATATATTCAATTTTTGTTGAAATCAAACAAAGTTTAATTTTGGACCCCAATTTGGACCAACTTGAAAACTGGGCCCATTATCAAAAATCTAAATACATGTTTAGATTCAGCATATCGAAGAACCCTAAGAATTCAATTTTTGTTAAAATCAAACTTAGTTTAATTTTGGACCCTTTGGACCTTAATGTAGACCAATTTGAAAACGGAACCAAAAATTAAGAATCTAAATACACGGTTAGATTCGGCATATCAAAGAACCCCAATAATTCAATTTTTGATGAAATCAAACAAAGTTTAATTTTGGACCCTTTGGACCTCAATGTGGACCAATTTAAAAACACGGCCCAAAATCCAATAACTTAATACACGGTTAGATTCAGCATATCAAAGAACCCCAAGAATTCAAGAATAAAACCCCATTGAAATTGGTCAAGAATTAAGCAATTTATACGAAGTATCTTCTTTTGCACAATACTGTGCAATTGAAAATTTCTTGCTATTGCGCAATATTGTGCTATTGGATATTTCTTGCTATTGCCCAATACTGTGCAATTGAAGATTTCTTGCTATTGCGCAATACTGTGCAATTGAAGATTTCTTGCTATTGTGCAATACTGTGCAATTGAAAATTTCTTGCTATTGCACAATACTTATTATATAATAATAAATTCTGACCTGTACGCGTCAATTTTTGTTTTGCGTAGTTTTCACTCGAGTCCGTCAAACCAGAAGTTATTTTGAATTCGCCGCCGATCTACGACACATACGATCACGTGGTTTTTTGCAAGAGATCACGTGTTTGAGAGTCGTTGTTTTGGAAGTGTCTCGAACGAGAAGTCATTGAATATTATATTGATTATTTACGATTTTTAGTGAAAATCTAGGTCATTGTGGGCATTTTTAGAAAGGTAATTCATATTACCTCCGTATTGTCATGGGCATTTTTATATTTTTTGCCTATAAAGAAGTTCCTTGCAAGTGATTTTTTTGCTGTTTCATGAAGGCGCGCGACCTGTAAATACGGACGCGTGGTCTTTGAGATGACCTGGTGTTTGACAATTCTGACTTGTTCAGGTCAGAAAATGTTGTTATGATAATGAATTGTTATTTTCGGGAAATAACTCGTGTTGTCTTAAACAATATTAACATTATTAACCAGTCAGTGCAATTTAAAAAGTAAAATTATTGCTTCGAGCTGAACATCATCACGTGATTTTTCTATTTTTAAACTCAATCACGAATTGATTTTTTAACCTTTCTGATTCTTTTCTCCCTATGAGAAAAACGATCATTGTGAATATTGATATGATGATAATGAAACGAAAATGGGAAAAATTTTAATAAAAGAAAAAGGAAGGGAGGGGTTTAACTAAAGAACCCAAGGGTTTTTTTTTTTATTTTTAAAGTTATAACTTAAGAACAATAAGTGATGCACACACCTGGTCTTCATTTATGATCATGGGACATGATAAAACAAATCAAATGAAATGTAGGGCAAGTCTCCAGGGATCACCCCTATCCCTGTCATTTCTCTATTCCTCTTTATAATGTCAAATTGATTTGAATGAAATATACCAGGCTAGTCTCCAGGTTTACCCCCACCCCCTGCCATTTGCAAATGTTCTTATATTTTGTAAACGGTAGAGATCCCCACCCCTAAACCATATATATTCTTGTATGGGACAATTTAACAAATCAAATGATATGTTGGGGAGGTCCCTGGGGGTCACCCCTACCCCTCCTGTTTGAAAACTTGTAAACGGTCGAGATCCCCACCCCTAAACCATATATTTTCTTGAATAGGACAATAAAACAAATCAAATGAAATATAGGGGAAGTCCCTTGGGGTCACCCCACCCCCTCCTGTGTTAAAACTTTTTAACGGTCGGGATCCCCACCCCTTAACCATGTATATTCTTGTAAGGGTCAATAAGACAAATCAAATGAAATACAGGTGAAGTCCCTGAGGGTCACCCCACCCCCTCATGTTTGAAAACTTGTAAACGGTCGAGATCCCCACCCCTAAACCATATACATTCTTGCACAGGACAATAAAAAAAATCAAATGAAATATAGGGGAAGTCCATTGGGGTCATCCCCATCCCCCTTTTTGAAATGTTCTGGATCACCACCCCTAAAGGTAAACCATATGATATTCCTGTTCGTCATTTCAAGAAGATTTGAATGACATGCAGGGTCAAACCCTAGGCGTCACTTATGCATATCACTTTACTATACAAAACCAATTTGTACTGGAACTTGCCCAATGTCAGGCAACCATGGGAATGACGAATTATGGGAGCTTTGTTTGGGAGACTTCGTAACAGCATCCTGTTACAATTATTTCTTGTTTATTTTAATCTGCTGAGAGACCACCTTTACATATTATATTTATCAGTGTTTGTGCAAACAGAATTGTCTATTCAGTATTATTTTCCTCTCACATGCATCACATCTTATTAATTACATGGATATAGGAAGATGTGATATGAGTGCCAATGAGACAACTCTCCATCCAAGTTACAATTTATAAAAGTAAACCATTATAGGTCAAGGTACGGCCTTCAACACGGAGCATTGGCTCACACCGAACAGCAAGCTATAAAGGGCCTCAAAAAATTACAAGTGTAAAACCATTCAAACAGAAAAACCAACGGTCTAATCTATATAAAAAAAAAAAAAAAATTTTGGCATATTTGTTCTCTTCTGAAATTACACATCTATAATTCCTACCCCAGATGCTTAGCCACATGAAGCATTTACCTCTTATTTGAGACATAGATAGTCTTTGTTTCTACAGAAGTGAGAAGAACATTGGAAGTCAGAATGTTCTGACTTATAAAAGTCTGAATGTTCTGACTTAATAAGGTCAGAAAGACTCAGAATGATCTGAAAATACTGACTTTTTTTAATGTTGAGAGTATTTTAGACTATGAATGCACTTGTCATGCTAGTACCATAAGAAACCCTGACAAGATTTTGTTCCCAAACAACAACTTTTAAAGATATTAAGAATAACAAGTGTACAATGGAACATAAATTACAAAGTTATAAGTGTTGTGAAAAAAGCTATTTAAAAAAAAATCAATAGATAGTTATCTTTCAACTTTTACATGTATTTAAAAAACAGTGAAAATATTATGGATTATATGTACGGCTTCTTGAAGGACAACAAAGTCACCATATTTGGTCTGAATTTGTGTGTTTTTTCTCCTCAAAATTTTTTTAACATTAATAATGTCGGCTTTTTTCTTAACTAATTTTAAACATTCTTAATTATAATTAAATTTCCCCAACATTTTGCTTACAAACTCTTTAATTTCTAAAGTCAAATTGAAAGTTGTCTTCACAGATTCAATGTGTCTGAAAATGTTATATTGAAAAAACAATACTTTTATATCCTCAAATAAAATGAGCATACCATGAGTTTAATGGTCATGCAGATATGCAATCCAGGATGTTAACAATCAGAGTTTAGATTACAGTCATATAGTAATAGGCAGAGTTTTTCTTATATAATCAATAACCAGAGTAAAGATAATTGATTAATAGAGGTTTAGTTTAATATAAGTAATAAACAAAGCTAATTAATACACTTGCAATCACATACATGTAGTTAAATTAGTAAATACAGAATATTCATACAAAATTCAGACAGAAATACTGTAATAGGTCAAGTCATTAGGGACGACATCAAAAGTTCAATGTAGGATAAAAAACTTAATTCACATCACATAGTTTTTTCACTGACCCCCCCCCCCCCACCCCCTCCTCTTAACTTAATTTGGGAAAGATTGATTGACCAATATGGATTTATGTAAAATCGATTTTGGATAAACAAAACTTGCAGCAACTTTAACCCCACCCCCACCCCCAAACTATTTGATTTAAGTCTTTTTATCCTACATTGGTCTTTTGATGGCGTCCCTTAGAATGTGCTGACTTTGTACATGTTGTAGTGATAGTTATGGCACCCATACAACATGTAGGAATCAGTCAAAAGGAGAGAAAAATTCCCTAAATTTGTCACATAGTGACATTTGTGAGTCGGAATAACAAAATATAGACTCATTAATCTCTCCATCTTTTCAAAAATTATGAACCAGATTTTATGCATATCCATATAGTTTTTGACGGACTCTTTTAAGTCAGAACATGATTTGACCTGTTTGAGTCAATTTGCAGAACAAAATTTCTAATCAAAGCTATGTGTTCTTCCTCTTAGCCCCCTTCTGAATCTGCCACTGTTGAGTTTATTAATTGATTTTTCAATACATTATCATTAATATCAAATGGCAATGCCTGACTTAATAATTTCAATAAATTTAGTTTTTAACTGATTTTTTAAAGTCAGAACATGACTTGACCTGTTTAAGTCAATTTGCAGAACAAAATTTCCAATCAAAGCTAGGTGTACTTCCTTTAAGCCCTGCAATGCCCGGCTTAAATATTTCAATAAATTTATTTTAGTTTTGGACTGACTCTTTTAAGTCAGAACATGATTTGACCTGTTTAAAACAAAATACATTTAATATTGAATATACCAAATAAACTTTTTTATAGTCCTCATTATTGTGACTTATGGGGAATTTATTCTCTCTGTCTTTTATCTGGCTTACCTATACATTTTTAAATCAATATGACAATACTAGACTTAAAAGTTGTAATACGTTTAGTAAGTCAGAACATAATGTGACTTGTTTGAGTCAGTTTGCACAACAGTATTTACCTCAATGAAATATT